ATAACTATTATCTCAAATTTTAAATTTTCTGTCTTGATATTAATGGTCATATAGAGTATTAAGTAATACTAACTTTAGGCTTCATGTAACTTTCAGTGTGTGATTTTAGGCTTGAGTCTAAAGCAAGTATTTAGGAATTAAGACTATATATCCTGGGTATATTTAATAGGTTGTGGTCATTTAACCTTTCCTAGATCTGCTGCATATGACAGTTAAAATATTTACATTTTCTACAGTGAATGATGAACAATCCTACCAGTGACCTTTGAAGTCTCCAAAAGATGATGGTGTCTCACAATGATGAATACATTGGGATTGTGGTAACACCACTAATCTGTAAACTGCCATCCAAAGATCAGCTTTGGACTACAAACTGCTCCAAACAATTTCAAGACAGTTATTTAATATGGTCCAGCCTCTTAGACTACTCCAGCCAGGACTTCAGATAGACTTGCATTTTATCATCATACCAAGACTGGATAACAGGTGGATTCCCCAGGACTTGATCATAATCTCTATTTTCTCATGGTCCTGTAAAAATGCCAGCACCCCATATTGGGAGGTAAAAGTCTAAAGCACATGATGCCCACATTCCCAAGAGGTGATTAACAGATTTCTCCAGTCAAGATAAGAGTATGAAATACCTGCTAAAATCTGACACATGTCACTCTTATGGGTATTGCCCAATAGAGCCAGAAACTTCATACCAGTGAGTCCAGGCAAAATGAAGAATACAGCTCAGACATGAATTATGAAAAAATGAATACCCATGAATGAAGAAGAAATTCCAAATAAGAGGATATACATCTTGATGATAGGTACTATCTCACATCCTGGCAATGTTCTTGGTAGGGTAAGGTCATTTTCAAGTTTATTCCACTTTGTTGTCATGGAGATATTAAAACTTATGAAGGAAATGTTTCACAATTTATGCTTAGACCTCAAAGGCACCTAAAATTTCTACCTTTCACTAATACCTGATACTTGTAAATCAGTATTAATTTTATGTAAACAAGTTTTATACTAATTTTCTATGTTTTTAAATTTAAATATATTTTCTTGTTTAGAAAACACAATGTTCAGTCATCCTATCTGTGATATCCTGCTCTAGCACCAATCATCTCTACCCTCTATGGTCAAAAGCTTCTGGACTGGGCTGGGTTTATAACCTCAGCTCTCCTGGAGGCCAGCTTCCTCATATCATCAAGAAAATTTTCAAGTTTTAAAATAAAAGTTACTGCTTAGAAGACATAAGAATGGAAAAAATCCTTTTCACAATGAAAATTTCTGCACAGAGCAGTGATTCTCCTCTTGGCATCAGAGATATCATTGTTACTATCTACTCTCATCATCATCATCATCATCATCATCATCATCATCATCATCATCATCATCATCATCATCATCATCATCATCATCATCATCATCATCATCATCATCATCATCATCATCATCATCATCATCATCATCATCATCATCATCATCATCATCATCATCATCATCATCATCATCATCATCATCATCATCATCATCACAAGATAGAGTATTGACACAACCCATCAAGGAGGGAAGATTTCAAGCAAAAGAGAAAAGGAATTGAAGTACAGAAAAAGTTTACCTGAGCAAAATGAAGTATACTCCTAACTGAAGTTCCTGCCCGAATTTGCCCAGCATACACATCAATACGACTCTGGGAAATAGCAAAACATGGTTAGTGTCTTTCTTTATTTTTTTCCAAGAGATTATTTTTTTATTAGTTAAATTTAGAAACAAGGTGGTTCTCATCTCAGTCCCCTCTCCCTCTCCTTCCCCTTCCCCTAACCCCGACTATTACCCACCCTTATCCCCCCTCTATTTTCCTGACTCAACCTTCCTGATACTCCTTTTCATCCTATCCCCACCTCTCCTCCCCCTCTCATTCTTATATGAATTTTAGACATAGAGCAAAGGATTAGCAGCCTACATCCTCATCACCATAGGAACTAGGAAACAAGAAGGACTCTAAGAGAGGAATGCTTGGAACCTGGAGAAGAGAAGGGGCAGGATCTCCTGAGCTAATTGGTATCCTGAGGGTAGGGAGAGAGAGCTGGGTGAATGAGAGGGGGATAGTGTCTTTCTAAGAGTATGAGAGTTTAAAATAGTATTGCAGAACTGTGTGACTTTTATGATCAAATCTTTACTGAATCAATTAAAAAGAAAGATTGGATTTTGACCACAGCAAGGAAATTAAGTGTTTTTGTTTGTTTTATATATGATAGTATGTGATGGAGAAAAACTTTTTATGGAAAGAAGTCTTAATCTTAATGTGATTATTGAAAAGAAATAAGAGAAAAATATTAGTTTATCCATAAATACTATAGATGGATTTTATGGCCATATTCATAACTTTAGAAATTATATGCAAACTATGCCAAATTTTATAAAATGAGCTATTCATATTATGTCAGTTAAGTTGTTGTATATTCTATGAGCAAGTAATTGGCATTTTAATGTTTACCTAATAAGAAGATGATAGCATTAATAATCACTATCAAAAAACACTGACCTAAAGACAAAAATCACACATACCTCATTTAAATTTTGGGGATTATATCCGAATAGCAGTGTCAGTAGATTATTACAAACAGTTCTGATTGTCTGCCGATGGCAAATGAACTGAATGATATGGTTGTCATCTTTTCCGGTTATTATTTCCTTTTCTCCAAAGACTTGCTGAAAAATTACATATTTAAATAATGGTCCTGAGACTATTGTCCAGTAAGAAGCAATGACAGATGGAGTTTGATTTGCAATGCAACATTTCAATATACTGATAAATTTATATGGTTTTGTGCACAATAACATCTTCTGGCTCCTAAGTGGTATGCCCTGAAATAGCTATTTTCTGCTCCACAGAACATTTTTATAAATAATGAATTATCTGAGGTGATGGAGATTACCTATGCCATTTTTTAAATGAGAGAGAATTATGTCTTTTCATGTATTGAAAAAATTTAAGTCTACATCTGCAGGAGTGTCTTTTAATTCATGCAAGCCATAAATCTATCAAACTAATGAAGAAACTAATATCTAAAAAATAGATATGTGACATGCTATGTAAAGTAATTATTGTGTAAGTTAGATAATGAAAAGAAATATCTATAGTACATGACACTTAAGAATATTTTATAAAGTTTTGTATGCCATGGTGCATGGGTAGTATTCAGAGGATATAAGGCAGGTGTCTCCTTCCATCATGTGGGTCTCAGGGTTTGAACTCAGGTCAACAGGCACAGCTCCAAGTGCCTCTACATACTTACAAGCTCAGTACATGACAACAGATTCTATCAAAATTAAATTATTAAAAAAGTCTGATATCACAAACCAATTGTAATGGCTACCTGGAAAGTAAGGAATAGAAGCCCAAAATGACTGTGAATAGAGGAACTTGATAAAACAGCACAAAAAGCAACTGATTTCTAATATTCATACAGAGGGAATACAGACACCATTCTCTTTTTTGAATAGAATCAAATTTATCAAATTTATCAGGAAAACTTGTTTTAGATTTGTGTCATAAGGACAACCAAAAACAAATAAAGAAATATGCTCTTGGTCACAGCAATGAGAATACTGATTAAAGTATCCAGACTTTTGATGTCTCTAGAAATTAATAAAAAATTTTCAACTGTCTATGTAATGTCCTAGAAAAAATAGAGACTCTTATGAAGAATAATATTCTAGGAGACATTAACATGCTACAGTGAAAGCCATATCAAGATACTCTATACTCAGATGGTGATAAGAAAACCTTGCATGTACTTTGGGTAGACTGATGCAGACCAAATAAAAGCCCTGAACTCATAAACTTTCAAGGTTTACTTAATTCATCTATTTTGCTGTATCAGCATCAAACTTAATGGACTGAAGCCTAAAAAAGGATACACAAGCTTTAAGAGACATGTGATACATTGATTTAAATAAGAATGAGAAAAATCCAATGGTCTAGGAGAAAAGAACATTAAACTGAGGAAATCTTATGACCGTGGTAACTGATTGTTTTTTAAAACTGGGAAAAAATAGAAATAGAAATAGGATAAAGCAACATCTTTGAATTGTCAGTGAAATCTTAAATAGCTTTATATTTAAAATTCTTTTAAAGTATGTTTTATTTTTGTATATTTAAATATGTGCCTGTGTACATTGCCCACAGAGATCAGAAGAGGGAGTCAGGTTCTCAGAGATGGAATTTTAGGTGGCAGTGGGCCACAGGTCTTGGAGCAAAACTCCAGCCTTCAAGAAAGGTACTCACAACCATTAAGCCATGGCTCATGCCTCTAAATTTAAAATGTTATCAATAACAAAAGTATTATTTATGTAGTTAGTTAAAATAAGGTTATTCACAAGTAAAGAAACCAGTATAATTAATGGCTAATGATACAAGAAATGTTAGAAGTGCTTTTCTTTTAAATCGAGAGGACATGGTAATGACACTGCCAAGGATGATACAGACTTTGAGGATCCCCCATGGAGGGCCTTACCCTTCCTGGGGAGCAGAGGAGGAATGGGGTGGGAGGTTGGTAGGGTGTGAGTAAGAAGGGGAGGTAGAGGAAACAGGGATTGACTTGTAAAACAGGCTTGTTTCTAATTTGATCTAATATAAATAAATAAATAAAGTCAATAGACCCAGGTTTGATTCCACCAGGAAATTATCAAATGACACCTCTAGCCAAGCTTATCAGAGCTGAAAGGCTAGCCAAATAATTCAGTAGAGACTGAAACAAATATAGAAGCATCACTTTGTGTTGAGATGAGGATTGGCACTATATGCCAGGCTGGCCTGGAAGTCACAGTGATCCTTCAGCCTCAGTGTTACTGCCTACTGCAATTACCAGTGTGCACCACAACACCTCACAGTATCCTGCATCTCTTAATTGAGTCACTAGAAAATAATTCCATGATAATAATGTCACTTCAATAGATTCAATAGACAGACTGTTTGAAAACAAGTGTTAGAAAGATCGGTCTAGTAAAATAGCATTTGTTGGTTATACTTTCAAATAAACAAAATCCATAACCAGATAATTTCACTACTGAAATCTCCCAAATACCAAAGCATCTATAATTACACAATGCCTTTGATAGAAGTGAAGCAAAGAGAGTCGTTTCCAGCTATTTCAAGAGGTTTTCCTTACCCTGGCACTATAATTAGAAAAGAAGGTTGAAGGAAAGCCAGCAGCAAGTAATAGTTTGCAGAGCTCTAAATGCCAAAACATCTTAATGTTTTGAAAGAAGGAATGTTAATATACAAAACCAATAATACATTAAGAAGTAAGGTTTGTCAATGAAATGAAAATGGGACTAAACTTTCAGAAAAATCTGTAGACACAATGGACCATAATAACTGATTGAAAAGGAATAATAAACACGAGGTAATTTCCATAGAAAGAGATGACATATCAACAACATTGAATATATGTTTGTTATTGACATTCTCGTCATACTAGAACTATAAAACAATGCATGAGGCTGAGATGATTCAGCTGGGAAAGCATCTGCTGCATGAGAGCATGAGTTCAACTCCTAACCAGCCCAAAAGCCAAGTGTATGTCTACTGCCCAAACCCAGAGTCAGAAGAGCCAGGTAGATCCTCAGCCCAATGCCCAGTGGTCTAGCCAATTGGTGAGTCCTGAGTTTGCTGAGAGATGCTGTCTCAAAAGAAGACAAGACTAAGTCAGAAATTCTCCAGACACTGACATTTGGCTCCTCATGCAGGTGCACAAATATGCAAGAACAGCTGCATACATTTGTGCCTTCCCACAAAAACCATACACAGTTTCCACCATGTGTATGAATACACACACACACACACACACACACACACACACACACACACACACACACACAGAGAGAGAGAGAGAGAGAGAGAGAGAATGTACTTACACAGACACATCCAAATATGCATGAATAAAAACAAACACTAATATGGAAAAGTATTTCATCTATAGAGAAAACACCTTTTTGAACTTTAGAGTTGACATGTAGGTTTTGAAAGGCTAAATGTTCCCCTATCTGATCTGCAACTAAACTAGGACAAGAGAGTTCCAAGTAAGATTAAGAAAGTGGTTTTCTCTGTTCTTAATATCCCTGAGTAGAGGCTGTTAATCATAGACATGTATGAGAAAAGAACAGCTGGCAGTTTTATCTGCTTTAGAGAATGTATCTATGTAAATGCATAAAACAAAAAAATCAGAAAGCTATTAGTTAAGAAGAGTCAGATGCAACTCTCTGTATAAATGAAATGATGCTGAGTCATTGGTCATTATTGCAAGTAAAAGCCAAACAAATTATAAATCAATGTCAGTTAGATGGCTCACTATTTTAAAGAGACAAACTATAGCAAGAATACAAAAGATATGTGATCAGTAAACTGTTTATAATGCAAAACCCTCTATCCAACTTTGCTAGCTAAAGCTTTTCTGCACACTAAAGCATTTATAATTAATATATTTTCAGCACTTTGTACAAGATGGGATTAAAATGAGTTCTAAAACAACAGGGAAAGTGAATGCTACAGTCAAGTCTATGGGAAGAAAGAGAAGATAAAAGGGGATAATCCCATTCACTCTATTGAAATTTCAGTCTAAAAACCAGACATGATAGAAAACTTTAAAATCAAATGCAGATTGCACATTTGTATGATAAAATCTATTAATAAAGGTTTCAGTAGATAAGAAAAGTAGATGTGTAAGTATAAAAAAAAAAGAACCTTAGTCAACTGGTGGATAACAAAACCTGGCAACCTGTGATATACAGTACCAGCTGTGGGGGGGCTGTGTTTTTACAAAAACTCCGAGCAGAGAGGCAGCATGGTATTGCCTCAGCATCTCTGGTCTTAAGTGGGTACCATTCGTATTCTTGAAAACTGCACCTAACTTCTATTTCTGAGGGGGTCCTAGAAAGTATTACAAACCTTGATCACTGTTGGGTGAACGTATGCAATCGTGCGAAAGGCACCTGACAGATACCTGGTAGTCACAACAGGGGTCAGGGCAAGGTTGGCTTTAATTTTCTGGGCCAGCTGTGGGTTTGTTGCAAATGCCCCATAAGCTGAAAGAAAACAAGAGAACAGATTACATTTTTCCTATTCTCTCTTGGTTCCAAGTACTGTGTCATTTTTAATCACAACAGAGACTCTCCGTGTATTCTGTGTCATATTTGTGAAACTTTGGTTGAGTAATTCTGATTCACCTGGAAGCACACCACTAGGTTACTTTCTTTAAGCTACATTTGATGTGGACCTCATTTTAACTGTCACTGTGAAAGGTTTTGTTTGTTTAACTAGATATTCAATAACTTAGTATGTTATATTACAAAAAAAAATAAGTGACTAATTAGCCAGAGCATTAGGGACAGGCCCTGCACCCACAACTAGGGGTCTCACAAGTAGATCAAGCTGCAAAGCTGGCACACATATGCAGAGGACCTAGGTCAAATTCATGCAGGCTCCCTGCTGTCCATCCAGAGTCTTTGAACTCCTATGAGCCCAGGTTAGTTGTTTCTGTGGGTTCCCTTGTGAAGACCCTGGTTTCCAGGAACCTATTCCTCATACTGGGTTTCCTTGCTAAGCCTCAATACAAGTAGAGGAGCTTAGTCCTTCCTCAACTTGATATGTTATGCTTTGTTGACACCCATGGGAATCCTTCTGCTCTCTGGTCAGAAACAGGAGTAGGGAGGGTTGGGTGGGGGATGGGAATGAGAGTAGAGGAAGGACAGAAAACTGTGGCTGTGATGTAAAATAAATGAATACATTTCATTAACAAAATAAATAAATAAAAATTAAAAATGTAAAAATTAAAAAGTGACAAATCTAGAAAAATCAAGTATTTCCTGATTGTTAATTAATCTCTCTTACAATTTTGGAATCTAGAATGTTACATTTCTGTTACATTGATCTTTTAAGTATTTTCCTTCTGGTCATACTGAAAGTTGTTTGCATGGAAAACTTGTATACACCTTCACATTTAGATGATTGGTTATGAGGGCTGAGTAGACTATCTTTAGAAAAAGACATCAAAATTTAATGGGCACCAAAATTTAAATTAATTTTTATTTTATCATTAAAATCTTCTCTAATAGTTGGATATTCCCTCTTCTATGGCTGGAGAATGATATTTATAGCTTCTACTTGTCTGGTCCTCCAATCCCAGGCCTTGTGTGTGTACACAAACACAATAACAAATTATAGTTTAAGACTACTTGGAAAACGTTTGGTAAATATTATTCCATTTATGCTCTAGTTCTTCCTTAAGGATTTCTTTGATCTTAGGGAACATTACTAACATGAGAAGACAATTTTGCTTGTTACAAGTCCCATCTAGTTAGTAGACACTCCAGATACCATTTAGCCTCATAGAATGTATATCCTCCAAAGACATCCTCAAGAGAAAACATGTGGCCCAGTAAATATGAGGACCTGTACTATTGATCCCTTATCTTTCCTCAAAAGACTGAGAGTTTCGGGAGAAGTACATTTCATTAGTGTACTATGTGCATGGTAGCTAACTGCCAGCAAAGTACCCAAGCAGTAAGAAGGCTATTTTCAAACCAGTTGCATGCAAACTGTTTAGAAATGTTTTTCCAGGGAGTAAAAGGTTTGGAAGCATGCATTTTTTCTTGTATTCACATTATGTAAATTAGCATGCCTCAGATTATCCCATTAAAATACTACTCAAAGCTCTGTGGATGCTCACTGGGGCCTCAGAAATCAGTTAAGGATATCAAAAAACAATGTGTTAAGCTTAGTTTTGGAAAGTGCTAAGAATCCCAAGTGACTCTATCACATTTTTGCATTGTTCACATATCTCATTTCTTTGAAATGATGATTATTTTAAAAAGCAAATAATGAATGTATCTATTATTCTATCTGTTATTTTGAAGATTAGCCAAGTGCAATCAGCCATGCCTGTAATCACACCATTTGAGAAGTGGAGTCAGAGGCTTGCATGGTGGAACCCAGCCGGGGTAGGCAGCAATACTCTGTGCCAAACAACAACAAACATGGCTGTCTGTTAGCAAATTAAACCACTGCAACAAATGAATATATTTTTTGGCTAGTCTGAATGTTTGTAAATACTGACAAAATGTCATTTCTATAAATGAAGTTATTTTTAAAGAATGCTTATGTGGTTTACAATTAAAAATTACAAGATGGGCAGATTTTAGTCTCTCTCAGCATACCAAGAAGGGTGCCCTGGGAATGGCCAACATAGTAGATTTGTTTCTGTCCTGTCTTGTTCACAATGAAATCAATGATGGCTGGAATGTCAAATTTTATTTGTTCATCAAAACTGTATAAAACAGAAATTAAGGAGTTTGGTTAATTATAATAATTGATCATTATCTTTTCAGGGGAAACCGTGACTTGAAAAAAATTTCCATAGGGACGCATGGGTATTGAGATAACACTAATCAAATATCTACTGCATGCTCTGCATCATGCTCCCCATCACACACCCCAATTTTCTACAATGCTCACAATGCTTTGAAATGATCTTTTGTTTGGTCCATTTAAACAGAGTCAAGATCAGAGCTATTTAAGTGACTTACTATATCCCTAATTGCATTTGTTCTACATCTGAATTTATTAGATAATAT